TATCTGCAAGTAATTTTAACTTGTATTTATTTTAATGAGCATTTTAAATTATTATTCACAGCTACGGGACATCACAAAGTTTTAGCAAAACTTGATAATCTTCCTAATGATGTTACGCAACTTTATTTAATCTTGAGTTCATGGAAGTCTCCAAAAATTAGTCATTTTCGGAAACCAAGCTTTAAATTATATGATGAAATGAATCCTTATAAACAATTGTGTAAGTACAACTTACATGAAGCTGGCAATTCACAAGCCGTTATAATGTGTCTTATTAATAGATCACATAATGGTAGGTTTTTTTTCTATTGCTAAGTTTTTACTATATGATACGAAATTTATTTTTCATAAATTTTTTCTTTTGATTATAGGCAATTGGAATGTAATTGAAGTAGGCAAGTTATCCAATGGGAATGCTAAAGACTATGGACCAATTATAAGCAATATAAGTAAGATAATTGATTTAGGATATAAAATATATTCGAAATAAAATACAGAATAAGATTTTTATAAAATGGCCTTTATACTCTGTACAAGAATTTTCATAAAATAAGGCATATTTACCCAGAATTAAGTAATTTTTATTTCCAACTAATAAAATGATGCTACCGCCGTTTGCTGTTAGTAATATGTTCTTGTAATGATCATAAAACATCTAATTGTTGTTCGACGTACTAGACCAAGAGTTTCCGTTTTCATATTATGCATTTTTTGTTCTAATAATCCATTTCTGTAAATATTTAAAATTCCTACTTATCCTTTTCGTCTTATAAACATGGTTTTCCGCAGATTTTCCTATCTTTTCCATCATTTAAACATCTTTCTCAAAATGTCCGATTATTAGGTTCAGTAAAAAAAAACTTACGTTATGGTAACGTGGGATTTTTTTCGAACCTAGTGAAATAAAAGATTTAATCCAAAAAGATAGTGCTGTGATAATGTTTTGAATAATTATGTGTAAAATTTTAGGTTTAAATCGATTGGGACACGATTAGATATTAGTGTTCATTCATTATTGTTATTATTATTTATCTATTTTATATTAGATTGATCTCCTAGCGTCATAATAAATTTTTAGCGTCAGACATCTAACATGTATCGACATTCGCCATTTTTAAATTTTCACCGATTAATGAAAAGCCTATATATGTATGCCACTTATTGATGTTATACATCAATAATATCGAAGGTTCATATATCTAAGTAACATCATATAGATGATTACTATAAGTTTATGTAAATGTAAAGTTACTTAATAATTTATGTTTCTTTTTGTGTAGTATTACGAAGGTCCATAAAATGCATAAAATATTTGTGCATACTTTAAAAAAATAAAATTTGTCTTTTGAAATAAATACTATTATAATATAATTAACCTATTTTATTATATATATAAAGAATATTACTAACCATAACCGGTAGTGACCAGTGTTCGAAATTAGTGTCATGAGAACGCTACTATGAATTTGTGCACAGTAAAAATTTTTTACTGTTCTCTATTCAAATTTTTTTTGAGAACAGTAAAATAAAAATAGTGTTCTCATAGTAACTGTGTGATATTATTATATCAAATTAGAAATAAATAAATATAATTAATTGGGTTTCAGAATTAATAATTCGACACCTAATTTCAGAATATCTTGTTAATTTATTATCACCGTTGAATAATGATGCATATAATTACTATAACAGAACGAAAAAATGTACTTTGATGTATTTTTTTTTAGCAAGAATAAGTGAGAACATAAACAATAGTTTGAGAACACTCATAGCCATTATACTGTTCTCATGAGAACAGTGTTTGAGTCTGAAATTTCAAACACTGGTGGTGACCATCACCGGGGTGCCTATATCTCAAAAACGTACTAAGTAAACAGGATCAGGTATTCTAAGTAAAAATGTTCAGGACCCCAAAAACCTCTCAAAACTAAATTTGGGACTTTATATTAGTTCTATATTATATTATATAAAAAAAAATAATTCTTAATACCCGCACCCTAACTCTAAAAATATCTAGGGTAGTGACGATCACCACCGGTTACTTGTAGTAAAATTCTTTTTAAAAAATAACTACAAATTTTTACTATGAAACTATTTTTTGTTTACTAACAAAAAATATTCTTTGACCAATTTTATATATAATTTGTCTATTTTAAATTTCAATTATAACTTCAATTTATAAATATTTTATAATTAATTTTGTAATTTTTCTTATAAAAAATTTTTATTAGTTGTTAAAAATATGTAAACAGGTTAGATATTATTAAGATAACATTATCAAATTAAATTACATAATCGAAACTAAATTTTATCTTATATTTTAAAGTTTCTGTAAAGTAGGGGTGCAGAACATGCTTTGTACTTCAAACACTAAAATTGTTTGAAAGAATGGTTTACCTTGAAATTTTCAACTCTATTGTGCATTAAAATTGTCATTATTATAGCTAAATGCAAATTGTGTAAAATTATTTTATTTGGTAATTTTAAATAATAAGAATTTTTGTTTTATAACTAAAT